TATGGATATGGATATATATATATATATATATATATATAAAAGAAAAAATATGGCATCTAAAGAAAAGCATCTGCAATATTTTGATGATAATGTAATATCTAATAATTTATTTATGAATAGCAGTTTATGTCACCTGTATGTGAGCGACTGCAGTGCGCGACAGTGACAGCTGACGAGCCACAGCGATCTGTCCGTCAGAATGTTGGGACAATGAGAGACGCTCAGAGAGATGAGACTCCGCCCTGCTGCCTTTAGCACCGCCTCCAGCCCCGCCTCCAGCCCGCCCCTCACACACAGAGAGACCAAAACACTCTTCACTAAAACATACTGGCCGTCATGTGTAAGAATTCACAAGCTCTGCGCTCAGAGTGAGAAATGTGTGTGTGTGAGAGTGTGCGTGTGTCTCAGTGGTGTGTGTGCATGCTTGTATGTGTGTGTGTGTGTGTGTGGGTGTTTTACCTGGTGCTGCACAAGTACTCGTCTTTGCTCTCCTTCTTGCCACGACCCGCGAGGTTGGGATGGCTTTTGCTCTACAGTGACATCTAGAGATGGTTAGTTTTATTAGCTGAGGAAGCCATTTTGGCAAGGGTTGTTTGTGGCCTGCATGTGGAAATAATGAATGGAAATAAGCTTCTGAACAGGTAAGTGAACGGAGCTTCTATCTTCTGTTGATGTTTGCTGATTTGGATGCTTTGCTGGTTTTGTTTGGGAGATTGGTTGTTGGTGCATGTGGATTGGGAGATTTGCTTTGATTTGTGTGTAAAGTTTTGAAAAAAGAGGCAAAGTTTTGAAAATGTGTGTAAGCAGCTGAAAAAACTATTATTTTGGATTCCATCTTCATTTATATATTTCTTTCACTCAAATGTTTTTACTGTCACTTTTGATCAATTTAATGCATCCTTGATAAACAAAGATATTAATTTCTTTAAAAAAAAAAAAAGAACGTTTTGTCAGTTCTATTAGGATAAAATAGCATTAGATGTCCTTACTAATATGGGGAAACAAACATAAGTGTGTGTTTCCTTGCCTTTGATGACACTCGTGCGTTTTCCAGTGTTACTCTGATCCAAACAGCAGGATGACGTGCGACACTGCGCCAGTCCTTACACACCTGAGAGACACACACACACACACTTAAACACTGAAGCACACATTACACACATCATATATCTAACACACACACACACACACCTCAGCGGCGGTGAGCAGCGAGCGCGTGTCCAGATAAGTGAACACACAGAAGAGCGCCGCTTTGAGCCTCAGACGCTCCGAACACACGGCCGATTCACTGGATCTGTTCACACGCCAGTGCAGATCCGGACCTGATCACAACAACACACAACAACAACTGACAGATATCACACACTTCACACCCTAGCAACCTCATAGCAACACCATGGAATCACGGCAGAGAGTTTTGTATGGGCAAAATCTACTATGTTTACTGGAAAAATCTATTTATATAATTAATAATCACTATAATCAGTTCTTCTTTTCAATAAATATTAATGTGTCTTTATGTGTGAATCAGGATAATTATTATTATTATTATTATTATAGGATAACTAAACTACAACTAACAGGATAACTAAGACCACAAAAAAAATAAACTTTCTTTACTTGAAATACTGTAACATATGTTAACTGAAAATATAAAAAACATTTATTTTATTTCAACATTGCTCATTTTCATTTAGTTTAATGAAGTATTAAAATAAACAAAATTCAATAAACTAAAACTAATAAATACTACTATGTAGACATTTAAAATATAATAAAAATGACAAAAACACAACAAAATTACTAAAACTTTGACTAAAATGAACCTGTAAACAGAAAATCAAAAAAAAAAAAAAACAGTATGTTTTATAGTAACAGGAATACTAAAATAACACTAATACAAAGTAACACTGTATATTTGTGTGTGTGTGTGTATTCTATAATATAAACAGAATTTTGCATGTGTATTTACACTACCGTTCAAATGTTTGTGGTACATTTTTTTTGTTTTCGAAAGAAATCTCTTCTGCTCACCAAGGATGCAGTTATTTGATAAAAAATACAGTAAAAATAACAATAATTTGTAATGTTTTTACAATTTAAAATAACCATTTTCTATGTGAATATCTGTTAAACTGTAATTTATTACACATGCTGATCCTGCCGTCTGCCCCAGTGCCCCTCACAGCCGCCCGAACCCACCGACAGCGTGCGGGGCCTCCGCTCGAACCTGAGACGCGCCAGTCACATCACATCATTACTGCAGACGTCACAAGACAATCACAGTCTAGTAGCTTCTCCTAGGCAGCAATGAGAACACATGCTGAGCAAACAGAGACTTTGGCTTAAAGCAAAAGGTCAAATTCTATCCAGATTAGTTAGTTAGTTAGTTCATTAAATAATTAATTTATTCATTCATTCATTTACTTACTTTTTGGCCTGTACTGATGTATGACGACTAAAGATTTATTTTTGAGGTTCAGTTCCAATAAATGTCCAGTGTGGAGCCAAATTTTGATATATAGATAGATAGATAGATAGATAGATGAAGAACTTAAACTAAACAAAAAAATATAAATATTGCATTGGCAAACTAACTGAAAAAGTATAAGGTGAAGCACCAAAAATAACTGGATATAAAAAAATAACTAAAACTAACATAAAAATAAACTTACATTTTAATAGTTTGAAAAAAATAAATACAAATGACAAAAGACAACACAATCACTAAAAATACAAAAAAAAAAACTTAAATGAAAGCTAAAAATAAAAGCTAATTCAAAATATTAATGAAATATATAATAAAATATTTTAAAAATACTAAAATAACACTGCACATAAAATTTGAGACCAGGGATTTTAATAGTTAACTAAAACTAAAATCATAAAAAATGTTACTTGACATAAACAAAATGTTAACTAAAATAAAAATTAAATTAAATAGTGAAAAAAACGTAATCTTATTTTATTTCAAATAATTACCGAGGCAACATTTCTCATTGCCATTTAGTTTAACTTGATGTACTATGTAGATATTTACAAAAATCAACCAATCAAAAAAACAAAACAAAAAATCACAAAAACACAGAACAAAATGACTAAAACTTGACCTAAAATTAAAATGAAAACACAAAAATAAAAACTAATTCAAAATATGAAAAAACTATAATAGAATGTCAATGATAACACTACATGAGAGTTGTTTCTCATTAATCCTATGATACGACCCATTTAAAGTGCACTATATTGTATTTAATATGTTGCGAGGCGTTTGGACGGATGCATGGTGATGAACAGATGTGATTCTTGTGTAAATCTTTAGTAATGTACCTGTAGTACTGAGTGGCTCTGTAATCAGACACATGAGAAGATCTCCTGCTCATCCCAGACACGCTGTAACTCCTCTGTCAAACACACAAATACATTCACTGCTGATATATGAGAAATATCAGTGGTCGCTCTATATCTCCAATAATATGTCTTAGTAACGAGATTTAAACGATCCAAACATATAATGCAATGCTGATTGAGAGCTGAAGAAATAAAGGCTCCTCAGAAGGTGTGAGATGTTCTGGAGGCTTGTGAACATCATTCCTCCGCTGAGGAACAGTGAAAGTAAAGCTTCTGGAAACAAACGCTCCTCAAAAGATCCTGAGGATCAGATTTCAGACGCACTGATTTTTCTAAAACATGATTGATGGAGAACCAAGTAAAGCCCAGCTGCTTCAGTCCAGTAAGTGTTCATCTGGAGACGGACTCTCTGTACCTGGTAGCCTGATGCTCTGCTTCCTGCCAGGTGTCTGTGAGGGGAAGTGACATCTTCGTAAAGATTCTGCAGCTGCGTCTCGGCTCTCTCGGCTCTCTCCAGCAGGTCCTCGATGAAGTGCTGCAGACGGATCTTTGCGCTGGCTTCCTGGAGCGCCGTGTCTCGCACAAACCTGTCCAGCTCACACACTTCCCTAAAACACACACACACACACACACGCATTAAAACATTCACATGCAAATGATGCTCCAGAATGATTTGCTTACCGAAACACAGAAACCAAAATTGAAGTTTCTATATAGATCAAACGAAAGAAAACGAAGTTGCGGTAATTCAGTTTGGGTATTCAATATTACATCCCAGCTAACAGGGAATGTTATCAGAACGTTCTGGGAAGGTTCTCTTAAAGTTATGAACAAGCATTCCTCCTGTAACGTTAATAGAACATTCATTCAAAGTTGGTCTTTAATATCAAAACGTTATTTATACATTATCATTAATGGAACTTTATTTCCTGAAACATTTTAGTTGGATATTCATCTAACGTTTTTTAAAGCAACCCACGGAACACGTTTCGACTGAACAGGACCCCCGGAATGCGATTTTGATAGCCAGTTTCCCCCAGAACATGGTTGGGCTAGATTTGGCCATAATTGGGGTATTTTAGAGTAGCAATTGGGCTGGTTTTGTTAAACAAACCCTGGCAACCCTGCTTTAAGGTACCTACAGATTCCCACCCCTAGCTGACATGTTTACCTGTAGTAGTTGTGTGCATTTAATAAACACCGACATGTTCAAAACACGCCATCAGAAAAGTTAATTAAGCATCGGTCAATGATTTCAGCCCTCCAAAACCATTTCATCTGAAACTGAAAATTCTTTTTTTCCAATTTCAGACGAATATATTCAGTGCATCTCTAATCTAAACATACACTCACTGTTGTTTGCGCTGCAGTTGTTCGTCTCTCTTTCTCAGCTCGTATCTGAGGCTGGCCAGCATCTCCACGGAAATGTCCACCTGCCGCTCCAGTTCGGCCGCCCGCTCCTCCGCCTGGCGCTTCTCTCTGTGCATGCGCTCGCTCTCTCTCCTGGCCCGCCTCACCTCCGCGCTCCTCTGCTGCACCTCGTCCTGCAGCGTCTCCAGTTTGAGCGACACGCGCTCCTGCACCTCCAGCGCCAGCTGCTGAAGCCGGGCCTCCAGCGCCAGCCTGCCCAGCCACGGCACTCCCAGCTGGGCCACGGCGTGTCCGGTGTCTGCCTCCGCTTCTGCAGCTCTGGAGCTCACAGCGACCGCTAGCACTGGAGACAGAGACGATGGTGAGTCCCTCTGGAAGAGGATCTTTCGGAGCGGACGAGCCAAACTCAGGGCATCCAGGAGCTCCAGCCGCAGGGGGCGGTCGATTTCGTTCTCTCGCTGGGCGTAAAGGGACATCAGTCCGCCCTCAGAGCTCCGGCGAGGGGTCAGACAGAGTTCTTGGCAGGAGCGGACGCTGGAAAGGTGCTCCCCAAACCCACACGCCTCTCCACAGGTCAGGCAGTGTAACGGTAGCTCGGTGCTGGTCGACATTCTGCGATGACGCAGTCACACGCTCGAAAAACAACTCCTGAGTCGCATGGTGAGATAATTCAGAGTTCAGGAGCGTTTCAAGAACGTTTCAGTAACTTTAGGAGCGTTTCAGTAACTTCAGGAGCGTTTCAAGAATGTTTCAGGTACTTTAGGAGCGTTTCAAGAATGTTTCAGGAACTTTAGGAGCGTTTCAAGAACGTTTCAGGAACTTTAGGAGCGTTTCAAGAATCTTTCAGGAACTTTAGGAGCGTTTCAAGAACGTTTCAGGAACTTGAGGAGCATTTCAAGAAAGTTTCAGGAATGTTTCAGTAACTTTAGGAGCGTTTCAAAAACGTTTCAGGAACATGAGGAGCATTTCAAGAAAGTTTCAGGAATGTTTCAGAAACTTTAGGAACGTTTTAAGAACGTTTCAGGAACTTTAGGAGCGTTTCAGGAACTTTAGGAGCGTTTCAAGAATCTTTCAGGAACTTTAGGAGCGTTTCAAGAACGTTTCAGGAACTTTAGGAGCGTTTCAAGAATCTTTCAGGAACTTTAGGAGCGTTTCAAGAACGTTTCAGGAACTTGAGGAGCATTTCAAGAAAGTTTCAGGAATGTTTCAGAAACTTTAGGAGCGTTTTAAGAACGTTTCAGGAACTTTAGGAGCGTTTCAAGAACATCAGGAACGTTTCGGTAACTTTAGGAGCGTTTCGAGAATATATCAGGAATGTTTCAGTAACTAGCAGCGTTTCAGTAACATTAGAGAATTTTTCAAGGCATTTCAGTATCTTCTGGATTTTTCAAAGGTTTTTCAGTAACGTTAGAATCCTTTTAGGGGTGTTTCAGATGCATTTCAGTATCTTCTGGGGCATTTTAGTAATATTAGGAGTGTTTTAAGGGCGTTTCAGAAGTTTTTCAAGGTGTTTCAGTATCTTCTGGGTGTTTCAAAGGTATTTCAGTAACTTTAGGAGCATTTTGGGGACGTTTCAGTATCTTTTGGTGTGTTTCAAGGGCCTTTTAGTAACTTCAGACGCGTTTGGGGGCTTCAGTATCTTCTGGAGCGTTTCAATGGCATTTCAGGAACCTTTAAGAGAATTTAGGGGCATTTCAGTAACTTAAGAAGATTTTTTTTAGGGCATTTCAAAAGCATTTCAGTATCTTCTGGGGTCTTTCAAGGGCATTTCAGTAACTTTTATGAGTGTTTAAGGGGAATTTCAGTATCTTCTGGGCGTTTCAGTAACTTTAGGAGCGTTTTAGGGCTGTTTCAGAAGCGTCTTGGGGTATTTCAAGGTCTTTTCAGTAACTTTTTAATGGTATTTCAGAAGTGTTTCGGACCCATCAGTAACTTTGGAGCATTTTAGGGGCAATTCGGTGTCTTCTGTTGTGTTTTTAGGAACTTTTCAGTCCAAAACAGGCTCGTGCACAATTGCACCTGCAAAAGAAAAATGGAACAAAAGGAATAACTTCAGTAACATTCAAACAATTATGAGTATACAAGTTTCCATGACAACACAATTTGTTGTAGTTTAAAGTGCTTTTAAATTGTCTAAATCTAAAGGTGAGTTGTATCCTTTCTGTGTCCTCCCTCAATCATCTATTGGTGATTTTAATATATTAACACATTATGTTAACGTATTTTAATGCATCAAGCCAAACTTCATTCATTAATCTGCTATTGTTTCGTAAGTATGTTCTCACAGGAAGTGATGTAATAGTGAGAAACTGGTGAACTGTAAGCAGGTGAGTGTGTGTGTAAGTGTGCACTGATATTGAATCTCTGTGCTTTCAGTTGATACTTCTGTCATCATCTACCCACAATCCCATGGAACAAAATGTCACAGCTGCTCTTCCATACGATGTAAGTTCATGCAGAGCACTGCTATCATTATACTTAACTTAGTAAACAATGTTCTGTCTGGATTTGAAGCGCTCATGCTGAGAAAAAAATGCACCACTAGACTCATCCATCTCATACACTTACACAGTATATATGAGTATAAAGTGTTGTTTTTGTTCTCCTGTGATCATGTCTTATCTTGTTTAGAGTGCCAGGACTGCTAGCGTATTGTTTTATGGTATGCATTTGTTCACAGTCTCACTCTAGTTTAAATAAATCATGTGCTGGCAAAGGCGCCACCTATATTTCAATGTCTCTCTACTTCCTGCTTTCTTTACTTAATTTATTTAATTTATGTCTACTAGAATATCAAGTATACACTAATTGTCTCTCCATCTCTCCATGAGTGTTTATGATTCATTTTTAATGTAAATATAATCGAAAATAGATTTCGTAATATTAATGATTTTACTTTAACTTCTGTTTTATGCATAATGGTGACAATTTATTTCCCAAAATGCTCTAATGTATTCAATACACATTATAGTTTTATTATTTATATAGTTTACACGTTATAATTTTGGGGTCAGTGAGAATTTAAAAAAAAATGTTTTTCAAGTCTCTTCTGCACATCAAGGCTGCATTTACGTGCTCAAAAATACAGCATTAACAGTAAAATTGTAAATTATTATAATAATTTAAAAACAGCTGTTTTCTATGTGAATATCTGTTAAACTGTAATGCACCACTAGACTCATCCATCTCATACACTTACACAGTATATATGAGTATAAAGTGTTGTTTTTGTTCTCCTGTGATCATGTCTTATCTTGTTTAGAGTGCCAGGACTGCTAGCGTATTGTTTTATGGTATGCATTTGTTCACAGTCTCACTCTAGTTTAAATAAATCATGTGCTGGCAAAGGCGCCACCTATATTTCAATGTCTCTCTACTTCCTGCTTTCTTTACTTAATTTATTTAATTTATGTCTACTAGAATATCAAGTATACACTAATTGTCTCTCCATCTCTCCATGAGTGTTTATGATTCATTTTTAATGTAAATATAATCGAAAATAGATTTCGTAATATTAATGATTTTACTTTAACTTCTGTTTTATGCATAATGGTGACAATTTATTTCCCAAAATGCTCTAATGTATTCAATACACATTATAGTTTTATTATTTATATAGTTTACACGTTATAATTTTGGGGTCAGTGAGAATTTAAAAAAAAATGTTTTTCAAGTCTCTTCTGCACATCAAGGCTGCATTTACGTGCTCAAAAATACAGCATTAACAGTAAAATTGTAAATTAGTATAATAATTTAAAACAGCTGTTTTCTATGTGAATATGTGTTAAACTGTAATTTATTCCTGTGATGCACAGCTGTATTTTCAGCATCATTACTCCAGTCTTCAGTGTCACGTGATCTTCAGAAATCATTCTAATATACCATCTTTTCTTACATTATAAATGTCTTTACTGATCAATTTTAATTTCAATAACTGCTTAAGGTTTTTACTGTATTGAACTTTTAGAAGTATGTCTAATTAGAAGAGGAAAACTATTCTGTACATTATCAGGAAATAAACATGAGTAATTAGTTAGTTAATGAAGAATTATTAATGTCACTCCAGAGCATATTCTATTTCAGATGCATTCATAAAATGTGTGAGAGATGTTGTAGGTGACCTGCTGGAATTCACGCATGACCCTGCGCGCGCGCTCCGCGTTATTTCCGCATGAATATGATGAAGACAAAAGCTGCGGTCCGAGAAAAGCAACATTAACACCGCGATGATGAAATGCAGTCTAGAAATATGCATGCGTGCATCGATTACACAAATGCACAGTCTTCTGCTCATGCTTTCTCGTTTAAGATTCATGTGCATGCTTTATGTTGCAACTGTTATTGAAAGAAACATCTACACAGTGAAAATGCATCAATCGGTTTGGTCTTGTATCGGAATGTGTGTGCATCACGCGACCCAGCCCAAGATCTTCACATGCATCATCCAAAAGCATGCAGTAGCTTATTCAAATGAACGTGCAGCATTAAAAATCAAAACCCACCGGTTCTACCGGTTCTCTGTCTGGACTCTCGTCTTCCGCAGACCCAGTTGCTCCGGTCGCCTCTGACGTCACTCCCGGTCTGGGAGAAGCGGACCGCTCGAGGAGCGTGAGATAGAGCGGTAAGAAAAATACATGTATGTGGGAGCGCGCGCGTCACGTTCTGCCGTGCGCGAGCGGCGCTGTCCACACTCACGTGGTGCTGAAGCTCCAACCGAGAACAACTTGGTTTGATTAAAATACGCTACAGTTGTGTCCATAATTACAATGCATTAAATATGTGATTAAATATGTTTGAATGCAGTATCCAAGAGATCGAATACGCTACTTTAAAAAATCTCTCTCTCTCTCTCTCTCTCTCTATATA